TCATCAGTCATCACTGATACCTGATTAGACGTAGTAATCACTATTTATTTTCCTAAGAGTTTTTATCAGTTATCACCATTTACACCGGCAGCCAGGCCCGTGCAACTCAACTGAAAATACATACTTACAAAAACGCTTTTATTACGGAGCAAACCGGAACGGGCTCTCTGCTGCGCTCTAGTGGTTTATAAAACTACACAATATTTGATGTCATGATATAAGTAGTCAACATTTAAGTAAATAAATAGGTATACGATTTTTAAAATTTTAATCGTTATAGTTTAATGTTTAATGTTAACTTACGTTAAATGTTAATTATATAGTTAATAACATTAGAATATTGTACCTATATTATTATAATTTATCTTTTTATAGTGCACTGATTCATGGCTTCATAATTGGTGATAATTCCTATTAATATTTTGTTAAAAACTATGTTGTACAAAATTTTGCTAGTTTTTTCTTCTTTGTGTTCGTTTTAACAATTTCCCGATTCACTGTTCTTGACCATTGTTTCATTCGCATACTCAAGTAATACTTAATTGCATAGGCAAAAATCTCATATTTGTGTTTGGGACATGGAAAATTAAATCTTTGAAAATGTTCAATTAAATCATCTACAGTTTTATTATAGACGTCTGGGCTCTTAATATTTTTCATAAAGCAATCTTCTACAGCACTTATGAATTTAAAAAATATAATATTTGGGTGAGTAAGTTTTCCTTTTGATTTTAAGTTTGTTAATTCTGCTGCATTAACATTATTTGTAGGTGGCAAGTGTGTGACAAATGCTTGCTTGCATGTAACACATTGTGTCTTTTTGCCAATTTGAAAACACAAGTAACCGGTGATATAATATTTTAAGCAGTCAATTACTTGTGCATGAGCGTAATCATGTTCAATGATGTCAGTGAATTCCCATGTTCCATCGTCAATTAATGTATCTAGCTTGTTTTTCAAGTTTTCTAAGGCTGTCGGTGATTTTTTATCATTATGATATATACTCGTGATGTCTGATAAACGTATTAGATTGGATCCAGGGTCCATAATATTGATAGAACAGTTGCCATATTTTGGAGGTTTTATAATAGAATATACAGAAAGTAATTTATATACTTGAAGGAAGGTAGGGGTGGCAGGGTGGTCATTAGCCCCAGATGCCATTCGAACTGTACCAAAAAATCTCTGTAAAATGTAAATAGATATTAGTATAAATTTATAAAATGTCTACACTGTATTGTAAGTACTTCAAGTGCATCTTGGTTTATTTTTCCAGATAGAACATATTTAAATCCAAATTTGTCTATTAAGTAATCTGTTAATTCAATACAAGAGTTCAGTGTTACACGTAAACCTTCAGAAGTACTTTTTGTTAAGAATTGATTATCAGTGACATCAACTCCAGTCCGAGCCTCCCAATCATCCAGCCATTTTAAAGAGTATTTCAACACCTATAAGTAATCATTTTGTAAAGAAAAACAATTAATAACTATAGGTTATTGTTTAGCCAATATAATTTTGTTCATACCAAGTCAACTTGACCGTCAGGTGACACTCTTAGATTTAACGAACTATTGAAATACAACACTGACAAAAGAAACACTTAAGCATGCAAATTAAATACATAAAGTCACAAAAGCCCACATAAAGTTTGTTACCAGAAAATGGGTGTAAGTATAAAGATCCTAAAATCTCTTCTACAGTTCTACACATAAAACTATTCACATACTATTTTTAATAATTTTGTAATTTAAACAAATATCACAAATTTACAACATACACACATTCATTTTTTAATTATTTTTATTGCTAACTTCATAATTTTTTGACCCATGTCGTAATCCTTCACATGGAAGTTTGGCGTTTAAGGCATCAAACATGTTGTTCATAATTAGAGTGAAATTAATTGTGGCATCACAGTGTTCTAACCCAGGAACTTTATGCTTCTGATAGAATCTTAGTCCATCAGCCATAGACTTACTGAATACCTGGATATATAAAGAAAGGTTAGTATAGATATGGTGTAAATGTCTCGAAAGTTTGTAGATTATTGTAAAATATTACTTGGGTGGCTAGGCGGACACGCATTTTCAAACAAGAATTCAATAATTTCAAATGATTTTCTGAAATTTTGGGGCACACTCTTAGTTGGCTGTCACATATATTTTTATCATGTTCGTGCAATAAAACATAGTGTTTCCATTTCACCAAACCTTCAGTTGGATTTACCTATTATAAAAAGTATGATGTTATGAAAATGTTTAATAATATTTTTAAACATTTAAAATTTAAAATTACCAATAATTCTTTGTTATTGTATAAACGATTGCGAACATTTTTAATCAGATGTGGAGTATCTGAAAATACAAAAAATTTCCTACTACTGTCAACGAAGTGTTCTACGTGGCTTTGGCAGTCATTCAGATGGCCACGAATTCCTAACTCTTTCCACGCTTTCCTATTTGTTTGGGCACCATCAGACACTAACCCATGCACTTTTGCTCCAGCATTTTCCAATAAAACTACTGCTTTTATAATTAACTGAGTTAGTGGTAAACCTGCTACTGGACCTTTTGAGGCAAACACAGCAATTGGCTGAGTGTATGAGTCAGCCAAAGGTTGAAACATAAACACTAAGCCATGAGTTGCTTTATCACTCAAGTCATTTGCCTTTGGTAAATCTTCACTCCCAAAATCAATCAGTCCGGAATATGTTAGAGTCTTGGTGTTAACAGAAATACTCTGGCGTAAGGATATTTCATCAAAAATTAGTAAACCATGTTTTTGATATTCTTCTTTTCCTTCTAGGTGTTTTGCAAATAGTTGTAAAAATTGTTCGTCAAAACCACAAGATGTTTTAATTAATTGCAGATAATTTCTAATGGACCTGATACATGGCAAGGGGAGTAATTTATTTTCTCTCATAAATGAATACCCAGATGGAGACCTGATGTGGAGTAGCATACACAACATTATCCAATCCTCAGTATACCTATTTCCTTTAGGGCCCTTTTTTTCTGCTGCAGCAAATATTTCTTTTATTAACAACAAGTGATTTGGAGGAGTGTTGTTTTTAATTAATTTTTCAACTATTGTATCATGTTCTAAACTTCTAAATTTAATTTTCAATTCCTTAAATTCAATGAGTATTTTAGATAATTTGTTTTGAATTCTTTTTTTTGACTCTGTATTAAGTTTATTGCGGTTACGAAGGGCTTTTAATTTTAACTTTTTGCTAGGAGTAACTTGGATGTGTATTCGTTTTAACCTTGGTGATCTAGATTTTTTTTCTTTTATCAAATTCAATATTTTTTTACAAAATTTACAATTTTCTGGTTTTTTATTTTTGTTTATTGCCTTAAGATCAATTGGATTTGATACTGTTGTATTTAAAATTAATGAGCAATTAATGTGTCTGAAACTATCCGATGTATCTTTGTAAGTTGTCTTTGTTAAGTACTTTCTGTCTTCTTCAGGTATTTTTACACCACTACACATGTTAGCCAAATCAAAATTATAAATCAGATTTTGAATATTATTTAGTTCTCTCATATTTGACTGATTCAAAATTGAATAATTATTTATAATTTTATTTAAATACCTGCATTCAATTGTCATATCTTCGTGTACACTAACACATCTTTCAAAATAAGGTAGTTCTACGTCTTTATTTACAAATACTTTGCTAAATATGACCATTTTTTTGTTAGCAGGGAGAATCCTGGACCAATTAAATGGAACTATAATACTGTTCATATCATTCAATATTTTATTGAAATTATCTGATACTTTATGTGCATCAATATTATTAGAATCCAAACAAATTCTTTTTGTCTCATTGTGTACGGGTAACACATATGTTGAAGCTGTTGACCTTTTGTTTGTATAAATGTGTTTCTGAAATTTAAAAATAATCAAGAATACAAGGCCTTAATTAAGAATTAAAGGATCAATCTATTTTCTTTGACTGTAAAATGTTTATACTTAACCTAGTAGCTAATTTAAATATTATAATGATTTACCATTTCAGACTTGTCTAGGGGAATAGCTAAATCATCATTAGTGTCAAGTTCTTGTATAATATTTTCACATTTAATGCTGGGGATGGCACCCTGAAGAAGAATAGCATTTTTATACTTTTGCTAGAAGTATAATTAATAATTAATTAAAATTAATACTGTATTAATAATCATTGAGTAATTAGTCTAATTTTAAATAGGTAATCTTACTTCTGCAATGATGTTTCCTAAGCCGTCCTTCACAATTTTTTTTTTTATAATATAATTTGGGGAAAAATGGTTTTCACAAATTCTGTGACCTACATTTAACCCATCAATATATTTACTCCAGCTTGCAAGTCTTTGTTTAGTTACTTCAAAACTTGCAATACCTTCCTTGTTTTTTTTGCAAACAAAACATACTTTTGGCATTTTGAATTTGCAATATTTGGTGCACCAGTGTTCCTTACTATAAGTACTTATTAAAGTATAGTTATATTTTGTATAGAACACGGGTTTTTTTTTTAGAATATAATATAAATTACAATAAATATATATAAATAATATAAATAGTTTAGTTTCAAATTTGTATAAACTACAGGCAGGGGCGGACTGGGAATAAAAATCGGCCCCGGGGAAGCAGAATATTCGGCCCAAAATTAAAAAAAATACTATTTTATTATTATTAATTTATTCAGTAAAGAAATGCAAATGATAAGCCAAAGGTACACATAAAAAAGTATTTAAAAGTTTATAATAATATGAAAACTACATAATTATTTAAAAATTGCTTTTGAAAAACTATAAATACTTAACTAAACATACATTTTTCATAATAAGAATTATAGTTATGAAAACTAATTGTCAAGAGAAAAAATACATATACATATAATATATTATATAATATTAAATACTCGTATGTATGTATAAATATATGTAAATAAAATTATAAAATGACAATTTTTTATTTAAAAAAAAAATATGATTTTATTAAATTAACCTTTAATGTAATAAAAGTTTAGACATTAAGGGGCTGCTCTTAGCAAGTTTATCTTTGACTTCTTCATTTCCGACTTCTATAAGAGTTTTTTTTTCGATAGCCATGAGCATAAATGCTTGAAGATGATCTTGACTTAATGAATTACGAATTCTAGATTTTATTATTTTTAACTTAGAAAAGCTTCTTTCACAAGCTACTTGTGTCACCGAAAGTGTTAACAAAAACTTGTATGCAGTATAAAGTGATTTGTATGTATTTGTATGCATATTATACTTAGAAATAACTATATAACAACAGACTGGACAGTTTTTACAAAACTGATTAGAATTTGTACATTTTTCCTCATGTGTACCTTGTAAAATAAGTTGGTTCTTTATAGATTCTGAGTCGGATTCATAAGAACTTTCATCAGAATAATCGTCTACATTTTTGTCATAACTCTCAGGCACGGTATATTTTATAGATGGCCACTTTTCTTTAAAATCAAACAATTCATGTCGCAAGTTTTCTGGAGTAGCAGTTTTGTCAAAGAAAATGATTAAATCACTTAAACGTGTAAATGCTTTTTTAGACATAGTATCATTTATATCTTTAAAATTGGTTGGATCTAAAAGAGATAAATCTGAGTATAATGAGCCATGTTTTGTAAATCGTTCATTAAGTTTATTGATAATTGTGTCCAAAACTATATTGTGTACAGTTATTTTGAATTTTTCAAGTGGATTTATTATAAGTTGGTCTCTTGATACCTCACCTGGCATTTTTTTTTTAATTTTACGACGAACCGAACTTTCATCTGGGAACTGTGATTCAAGAATTTCGTCACAATCTACTTCTTCCAACTCTTTTTCTGCCCATACTATAAATGAATCAGTAGCTTCTTTTACTCTTTGAAAATCTCTAGATATTTCTTGTAAGTATGTTATAGTACTAGAAACCATCCTATATGCTTGAACTAAGTCCATTCCACTTGTTTGCAAATACTTGGACAATGGTGAAATACGCTCAAATATTCGTAAGTATAATTGTGATGTCATCACAAAACTATATTTTAAAAAAGAGTCCTTTAATGTAATAGCTTTATATCGTGTTTCTCGATTAAACTTATCAGAATTTGCAATTTTAGACATAACTGAAATTAATACAACATATAATGCACTTTCAGGCATACCGAAGTGGCCAAAAATAGTTGTAATCGACGATTCTTTAGACCACCACCTTGTATCTCCTGCTTTTGCTAATCGTTTGTTGTTTCCACATAATTCTTTCCACACATCCATTCTTTTATAGGATTCTCTTAAAAAATTAGCACATTCATTAAGAAGACTAAAAAACTTGACACTTTCAATAGTTATTTCTGTCACATCAATCATAACTAAATTTAAACAATGTGCATAGCACCATACATGCAACTGAGATGGATTTTCATCTGACAAATACTTAGAAAATCCTTTATAGCGCCCTTGCATGTTTGATGCACCATCTGTAGAAGACCCAATACAATACTTTAAATCAACACCATTTATTTCCAAAGTTTCTTTGACTAATTGGAACATAGATTCTCCTGTAGATGATTTTACATTTGTCACCGCTATTAGTCTTTCTTTAACCGAGTCGGTTAGATACCTGATGATAATTGAGCATTGATCTTCAACTTTCACATCTTGCGTTGTATCAATTTGTATAGAAAACATCCCAGCACTTTTAATTTCATTAACAATGTTTTGTCTCATTATTTGACAAATTATCTGTATAATTGAATTGATGGTTGTTTTAGAAAAAAAAGTTACTAAACTACCTCTGCCAGTTTTCTTTTTTTGGTGGGCTTTTTTACTTTTTAAAGCTACATGATCCAAATGATTTTTTAATATGGGATCAAATTTACCTAAGAGTATAAGTATTTCAAGGAAAGTACCATGGTCTAAAGTTTCATCTGTTAAGCTATATGCAGCTTCGTGTCGTTTACCGCGAAAACTTAATCCTCTTTTTCCTATTGTTTTTATAGTTTCTATAATTCGTTCCAATATTTCCCTATTTTTTTGTACTTCAAGCTGTTTCAATGATGTTTGCTTTACAAAAATTAGATTTTTTATATCTGCTTTATTAAAATTCAAAAAGTAAGCTTCAGTATTATTTCTATGCTGTTGACTATTTTCATGTCGTTCTAAAGTAGAGTACAAATGTTTCGGATTAAATTCAGATACACCCGTAACAAGACAGTTTTTCTCATTCGCATCACCATACGCTAAGCAACATGTACAAAAAAGTGTTTTTTTTTCATGAGAAAAAGTCAACCATTGACGATTTGAACCATCTTTACGTTGAAAAACTAACCTAGGGTTGAATGGTAACATATCTTGAAATGGCTGAATTGGGTGGTATTCAAAAAATTGATTTCTTTCATTTGGTAATGGAGTACAAAAAAAAATTGATGAGTTATCATAAGTTTTCTCAATATTTTTAGATATATTATTAGAAATATATACTTCATTTTCGGTATTACATTTAATAGGCTTAACGATGGTATCAAGATTTGTGTCGGATGAAGAAGTACTTGCTTGATCTTTTGAATATTGATCAACGGTTATGCTAGAAACATTTTTAAAATTTTCATTTGAAATAATCCCGGTGTTTTGATTTAAATGAGAATTGGCTGAGGCTAGAGAATTATTTGATATAATATTAATATTTTTTGAAGAAGTAAAATATGAATCTAAATTTTTGCATTTTGACGCTTCTGAAATTAGTAATTTATTTTTCTTTTCTCTTTGTTTTTGTGCACCGCCTTTACGTTTTTTATCCATCTTTTTTTGGAACCAGGCAAACACTAAAACCAATTATTTTTAATTTATCAATTTATTTTTCACCGATTAAATTAAAACTAAAAAAAAAAAAAAGGTGGGCAAGTGGGTGTCGCTCTGCTGTACAGTAGGTTACAAGTGGGTCACTGTATAATGGATGGTATTAAATTTGAATTTAATGATATAATATCATTGTATAAGAAAAACGATTCTGAGCGGTGACGGTATGTCAGTCTATGTATAAGACATATTATATACATATCTATGGTATTAAACAAAAATTGACCTATAATAAATTCCAAATTAATCATATCACAATATCCATTAGATACTTATAACGCGTTATACATCAACAAAAACCGTGATACTATCATAGATATATAATAGTACGATTTAGAAGTTTCAAGTACCCACGAATAATATTATTCAATCACAACAAAATAACTAAAATAGTTATTCTAGGTTTTTTAATATGTAATTTCGTCCAAATTTGAATTTAAAATGTCTGTAAAAAATAAGTGTGTTCATATATTTTTTGGTTATAGTATGAACTATTTATGAAAACCTTTGTGTTGAATTTGTAATCCTTAGCTATAAAAACTGAACATTTTATAATTTATTAATTACAATGATTCATAATTTTCGAGATTTTGATAAATTTTGTCAAAATTTGATCTTTAAATACTTATAAAGAAATTCAGAATATTTCAATATGACGTTTAGTTTTTCAAATATTAAGAATCTTAAAAGAGTCATTTTCGTTGAATGGCTGCACGTCATTAGATAGTAGTGGCCGGCCGACCCGGTCGTTCATTGACGTGCCGTTTAACGAAAATGTCTCTTTTAAGATTTTTAATATTTGAAAAACTAAACGTCATATTGAAATTCTGATACTAACATCGTCTTTAACACATAAAACCACACAATTATATGTAAATTAAATTCATACATGTAGGTATAAGATGGGCGATTACGATGAGTAGGGACCAATTAATATATATAAATATGAATAAACTAGATCTGATGGATCCAATTGGAATGAGATACTGAATCAAAGCGTACATTTTTAAAAATGTACGCTACTTAACATTAAAATATTAAATACTAAATAGCGATCACAATAAACTGTATAGATATTAGCTAAATCTGCTAAATTAATAGTATTAACACTAAAATATTGTACAAACTTATTAATTAATATCAATTATTAAATATACGAGTAAATAATTACTTACCAAACAATAAATATTGAAAAGCAGCAAAAAAAAAAATGATTCTGGCGTTCAATATTTAAGTGAACTTTTATCCAAAAAATAAAATACAATAGTAAATTTAAAAATAATAAATCAGACGCAGTCGGACGGCGGCAGTCAAAGGATTGTCACATACCAGTCTTACCACCACATTGTCGAAGTCGTTACGTACTACTCGTACTAGAGAAGTGTAATACTTATATTTTATAATTATAGTCTGATAATATAACCACGGGTTTTCCACTTTGCGATAACAAATCATTCGTTGTGCAACGGAATTCTTTTATGGCAATGGCGCAGACTATTCTAGTCATTACTTATTATGTTAAATAATATATTATTATTATAACAAAATCGATTATTCTATAATTTTAAACTAATATTATTATTTCTTTGTCTACATATACAATTTTTACGTTTATTCAGTTTTAATTTTATCGGCCCAAAATAGATTAAGCAGCCCAAAATTTTACCGGCCCAAGCGGGGATCGCCCACTCGCCGCCTTAGCCAGTCCGCCCCTGACTACAGGAGTTATTTTACCAATAGAGCGCAGCACTGCGCCCGTTCCAATTTCTTTCCGTGATAAAAGCGTGTGTTCCTATCCAAACTTTCCTGACCTTATATTCTAAGACCGTGCCGGCAGCTAATGCACAGAAATAGATAAGAGCATTACTGAGATAATAAAATTACTGGTTATGTTATAGTAAAAAAAAAACTTTTATGTTACTACGTTTAAAAAGGTTTAATAGAATTAATAACAATAATACAATAATGACATACATGCATCAACAATATTTAGTTCAGTAATCAGTTAATTCAGTTGCTACCTAATATCTATTTTAAATAATTTTCAAAATGCCCACCATCGTTTTCTGTACGTTTTTCATATCGCTCTAATATTGACGATGTGACCGACTTTAACATTTGTGATGTGACTTTTTTACATGCTTTAGTGATGCGCTCTTTTAAATCATTCAGAGAAGTCGACTGTTCTGAATAAACGTTATCTTTTAAGTAACCCCATAAAAAAAAATCTAAAGGAGTTAAATCAGGAGATCGTGGAGGCCATTCCAGTGGACCACGGGTACCTAACCAACTTTGGGGAAAATGCTGGTTCAAGTAATCTATTACTACTTTTGCATTATGAGCAGGAGCACCATCTTACTGTATCCACATTGTTTTCCGAATTTCAAGAGGGATACACTCCATCAATAACGGCAATGTATTTTCTAGAAACTCTAAATAACGTTGCCCACTTAGAGTGCCATCATAAAAATATGGACCGACCAATTTATTTATTTATTTTTTATTTATTTTATTTATAAAATCATAAATGTTAAAATTGAATAAATTAGTTATAATACATAATACTTTGACTATACATTTTTAATATTACCTGTAGCTTTTAATGTTTGTACAACATTTGTAATCGTGGATCGTGAAGGTTGTCTTCTTTTGGGAAATTTTTGTAGGTATAAGCGACATGTTTGAACTGTACTTTTACCACTAGTATAAAACATTTCTATCATGTCAGAATACTCTACATTAGTATAAGTAGGCGGCACATTATACATGTATACTAAGAAGTATTTGCTTTTATTTTTTAGAACTTGCTTAAACAAAAATTGTTGACTTGTGAGGATAAAAAAGTGGTGTCAATGATAAAAACAAATCGGTAACAGTTATTTTTACCTAAAAATTTACTTATTAAATAAATGTAGGTATAACAGTCTAAATAAATATACAAAATTCTAAATAAACTTAAATCTAATAATAATTAATAGGAATCACTCCCAAATTCATCTACTTCTGACTTATCTCATTATGTAAAAAAAGGTAATAATTTATAAAAGGTAATGAACACATTAGTTATCAATAGTTTCATTAGAATATAGACAAATTTCCGTAATGCAAATATTTGCAGAATTTGGGTATGTTCACATCTAATAAAAAATATTAACACTTGACATGTCCACAACTCAACATAAATTAATTAAAATTTAATGAACATAAGTAGTAACAAAGTGTAACATAATAACCTAACACATGAAATAACTTTGGTTCTAATCAATATTTTACCACTTTTTTTTATATGTAAAATATGTATAATATGTATGTATATCATTTATAAATGCTTGTGCTACAAGTACAGTTTAACATTTTTTAATACTTTGTCTAATTTTGGAGGTAAAAATGTTTATTAAGTGAAATAGTTTATTTTTTACAATCATTTTTTTAAATGTCAATATTTTTAAGGAATAAATAAATAAAATATATTTCTTAAATTATTTATTATTCATGTCATTTTAATAACTTTTGTCGTATGTTTTTACTATTCTCAATTTTTAATTTTTATTTGTCAGGTCATTCTGTTACACTTTTTATATTTACTACTGTAAATTACAATTTATTTTGAGGGCTATGAATGTTGTATTACTGTACAACTATTTAGAACTTAATAATTTTACTTATATATTTTACTATCTATCTTAATAGATGGAAAGTTTACTCATATCTAGGTTAGAATGTTTTTGTGAGTTACAATAGACTAAAAAGGTTTAATTTATCAGTGTGACAATTTATTTCTGAAATATTAAGTTTCTTAGTTGTTTAATTTAAAATATCGAAAAACAATGTTGAAAACCACCGGCCGAATTGGAATTTTTTAATAAATAGTTCTTAAATTTGTTAACGGGACACTTTATGTCATCTATGTACAATTTAAATATTTTAGATAACTTTTCGTTAAGTGATTTTTGTATAAAATATGATTTTATACTAAACCACAGTGTAAATCCTACAATGCTACATGAACATAAAATAATTATTTACAGAATTGTCATTCATTAAAACCAAGTCCCAAAGGCTTAAAAATGAGAACAGTCACTATGTATCTGAATTTGAGAATGAGAAAAAACTAGTAGGTATTTCATGTTATACATTTCTTCAAATATAGCATAGAAGTTTCATATTAGAAAAATATTAAATTATCCATTTTAAATGTAAAAAAATCTCATGAGTCTTAGTTATTTTATTACAATTCAATAACTTAACCTAATTACTTTAAATACCTATACAACCAAAGTTTCATCTGCATAATTTACAAAACTGTTAGTCCAACTTGATATTTCATGTTTCATAAAAGCTACTATAAAAAGAGGGGTAATATAATTATTAGATTTAATTATTTTATTGTTAAAAATATTCGTACTTACTTATCTATTGTGTAGTCTGTTCAAAAATGTACAACATAAGTATTTATTATTCCATACTTATTTAAATGTACACAGAACATGTATCAGAAAATATAAATTTTCATTTGCTGATCCAATTGGGAAATATAGTCACAATATACTCAAATTCGACTGTTATTATTGATTGACTTACTCGCATTTAAAGAGTTTTGGAGAAAACAACATTTATTTCCTTAATAAAAAAAAAAATTTCAAATTATTTATTTTTTAGGTAGGTAAATATATTTTTAAGTACATAGCTCATTAATTTTGTAGTTTTTTCATCAAAGAATAAAATGTATTATAGTTTATTAGTACCCATAAATAGTTTGTTGATGTTATTGTCAAAATAATTTAAATTGCAGACATCCTATCGTAAAACCACCGAAAAAAATAACTATTATGTATACTTACGTCTCCACTCTCCAATAGTGTGGTAACTTCGTTTAACTAATTTTGTTTTTGTAAGTGATGCCGTGATGGTGATTAATTTCTTAGAAATGTATATCAATTTAA